ACGTGAACACCTTCAATTTCGTTTTTGATTTCATTGGAAAGATTGTGAATACTATTTTTACTTGAAATAGCTGTAAATATACAGGGTGTTTGGCGCATCNCGACAGGACAGTCCAGTATTTTGGAACTATAAAAGATATCTGACGATTGAAAAATCAGCCCTAAGTTAATATAACTCACATTCTATTCAAACTTAAATATAGGTAGGTATCACGGTAATCTGCCTATTGTACAGATTGAAGACTTATAAAAACGTATGTATTACAGGTATTTCTTCTTACCTTCTTACCTTTAAGTATACAACAAAGTACGTTCGCGCACGCACACACACACACACACACACACAAACACGGTCCAATTATGCATGCATAAATATTATAATTTTCATAATTTTTCTTTTTCGTTGTGGACTGACAGTTGAGGTCGCATATGATATAAATAATTTTGTTAACTTGTGACAAAAGATTGTCTACATGACAGGCTTAGCCTAGCGTAGAAATCTCAGTTACTTTATGAACTGAAGCGTATGTCGGTACAACCTTAGCATTAAACGGGTCTTTAAGGAAATGTATGTACAACAATGCAATGTAAGCAATTTAAAAAATGTTAAAGTTGTTAAATAAACTTTTATTTATTTATTTATTATTTATTTATTACCTGGTTAAATCTAGGTAATAAATACACCTACTAAAAGCTTTTTATTACCATTGGAGCTTGAGGGAAGGCTTATCAGCCGTACGTTACTCATTAATTCTTTATATCTCGGTTTCGGTATAATAAATTATCTTTAATAAATGTTGTATTTGTGACTATATTTATGTATTTTATGAAGTAACAAAATGTTTGTTTTGTTATTTTTACGGTAGTTATAATGTTGGTCTGGAATTCTAAAAATTAGTTTATATTTAACTAATAATTTCAACTTGCGAATACACTCCAGCTCATAAGTTTCAGAACCTAGTAACCCGACGAAACACATATGTACAGATGGTTTGGAATAGTCCTACGAAATTAGAACCTTAGCTCTCTGAAATACGGTGTACCTATATCCTTAATAATTTAAGCTAGGAGGTAATGAAAACCACAAAGCCAAACCCTGGGTCGTTCTATATTAAGACATTGTCCTAATCAAAGGTTGCTATACCTATGGCGGGTTGAGTCTAAGGCCCATATTACTTCCGGGAGATTGCTTTGCCGCACTCACCCGGTATAACGTTTAGTAGCGCTATAAGTTCCACTATAATATGAAATATATGAGGTGACGTGTACTGTCTAGGCTATATTGAGTTAGGCGATCATGCTTTATTGGCACGAGGGTTAGGGCTAGTTCTAGGTGTTTTGTGTACAATTCAAACTTGTGAAATGAAATGCAAAATAAATTGTTTTGTTTATGGATTAAACGTAGAGTAAAGTGAAGCCAAAAGGAACGGGAGATTAAAATAATCCAAGAAGCAGACTAACATGGGAGGTAATATATTATGTAGATTTAAGAAAACTGAAATACGTATGTATACAATGTAATGACTGAAAAATTCCAAATATTAAAGTAAAGTTACTTCGTTATCATCATCATCATCATTTCAGCCATAGGACGTCCACTGCTAAACACAGGCCTCCCCCAATGCTTCCCATGATGCCCTGCGTCCAGCGCCTTCCTGCTACTTTTATGATGACTTCGTTAACGTAATGTATATTGCGACAGTTTTTGTGTATTCGGGAAACATTACAAGGAAACATCTTTACAAATCGAGCAAAATCTAATAGTCGATAGAGTAAAAAAGAGCAGGGAAAGCTTTTCGTCTACGCATTACATAAATTAATATAATGATTAAAGTTCTCCGCTATGGCATTTGTTTTTCAGATGGGTAACTAAATTCGTGTAGCTATTATAAAGAAGGGTTATCTAGTAACCAAATTATTATTAAAATCATTAAACTGAGTAGTTATTAAAAATATCTAGCGTTAAAAAAGCGCATCTTCGATTTTTACAAGATTGAAAAAAATAAACTAAGCTTTGTTAAACTAGCAGTTTATCCATGAAGTAAGTCGAACTACTGACGTAGATAAAAACATTAAAAGACGTAGATTAAAACTAAAGTAGAGTCACCATAACAAATAATTGGTTTCAATCAGTCGAGCCTTGACGGGAGTTAATAGGTAAAAAGTCACGAACGAATAATTGTGCCAACGACTCCTTCAAATCAGCGGATTGAAAAAACGTCTGGCATCCAAAGAGGCGTGGAGAACCGACAGAATAAGCTTCGCGAGGTTCCGTAGCAGCGGGGCTGGTTTTCGATCTCCGTTGCTTTCGCTTATGACAGCTTCTTGACATCAAATGAGCGATAGAAGCGAATGTTTTCGTGTTTATCAGTATTTAGCTAAACTGCTTATTTTATTTTAATTCTAAATCTTACTTAATACATATGCCCGTTTTAACCATCACGAAATAAAACCATCATCATAACCAACCACCATCATGAAAACAAAATTCCTGTTATGTGTTACCATAGGGGTCACTTAAAAATTAGGGATTGATGGTGAAAATGGGCATTAGCCTCACTAATCTGTGCGGTCAACATGGGGAGTGTAGACCAAATCCTCGATCCTCCGTGGTAAATTAGAGTGGGTCCTGCAGTGGTGAATAAATGACCTGATGATGTTGATTTAACGTTATCCCCTAACTTGATTGATTTGTATCTTATAAATTATTCCTCTTAGATAGCTTGTACGATACTAAATACTGTGACATCTAATAACCATTAGGTTACAATAGGCGCTATATTGTAGCAAAAATATCTATTTTCCTCACGACTGTACAAAAAGTAAGTTGGCTGCTTGAAAACCAGCTGTTATTCAGGCATTAGTTGTTTATCGTCCCATTTCTCTGCGGGTCCCCAAAACCGGTTCTTACCGGTTGGGGCCGGTGCCAAGTTCCATCGGAACGACTGGGCTCCCCTCGCGCGGAATGTTGACGAGCCTCGCGGGTGTGGATGAGGCAAATTGCACTTTTTACTTGTATAAACTTTCCGAGATTTTTTGGCAGGTGATTTTTTGAGGATGCAATTTGAGATAAATATTATTGAAGTAATGGGATCTGATAGGATGTAATGACCAGTGTGGTCCAAGGGTTTAAGCATCGAAATTCCTATTCGACAGAACGCTTGATAGGACCGATACCTAACACAAGCAGTTACAAAATTTAAACGATCCGTTCCACGAAATCTTTTACCTAAAAATGGGTCAAACTCTTTCAGTTATTGAGTTTCGGTTTTGAACTTTTCTGTGTTGACAGAAAACGAATTCCAAAATTGCTGAAAAGTAGTGTTGCTTACTTTTCAGCAAAATTTAAAAACAGGATTATTAAAAACTTACACATTTCAAGTTTCGATACAAATGCTTCAGAATACGCCCTCCCAACTATCTCCTCATCTGACTAATGCCTCACATCCAAAGCAGATGCTTCGTGCTCTCCCGGCCTAGTTCCGCATCCAGCCTTTTGTCGCTCGAGTGGCTTTTACCTGCAGTAGATAGCACTCGTCTTCAGCACATGTTTATTCGTTTTTTGTTCCGACGCTTTTCATTTGGGAGCCATTATTTTTATAGCAAACGTCTCGCCCATGTGAACACCAATCAACATTTTCTTTTTCGTATACAAACGCTTCAATTTAGTTTTTGATTTCATTGGAAAGATTGTGAATACTATTTTTACTTGAAATAGCTGTAAATATATTACATACCTATTTGGTTCTTATTAACAGTAATATACTCATATGTTATCTTATGTACAAAACCTTCTGCAAGTTTGTCAAATTTCATTACTTCAACGAATTCAACGAAGAAAGACAATTCTCAGTATAAAATAATAGGAACATTAGTTAGATCAGTGTTGATTACATTTTGTAGTCTTTAACGTTCTTGGTATTCTTTTTTTTCAGTTGATTTTATATGTGTATATTTGTGCTTCACCAACTTTTTCGGGTTATTATTTCAAACATCTACATATACACAGGTGAAATAGGGATATAATATCAGCATTAAAACAATGCCACTGGAAACAGTATAATCTAAATTCTTGGTCCTGAATTCTTTCTTTTGTTTCAAAATCAAAATCAAATCATATATTTTGCGAAAATGGGTTTACATCAGTAGGTGTTACAATTTTTCAAGTAGGTTTGTTATTTTTGTTTGATATTATACCATAGCAGTTGCTCCAAAAATGTCGTTTACTACGTTCGTACGGGCAGTTTTTCGGACAGGCTAATGCAAGCCACAGATGGCTTTTACTGCTGCAGGAGGCACCGGCAGGACGGTTGATTACGATTTACGACACCTGCAGCTGTGACACTTGGCAACTTGTGCGACCCAAAAATTAAGAAATATGTTACTAGAAATATACAGGCTCTTTTGAAGGCTTAGAGAAGAGATAGTGGCTGATACAACATCTTATTTATTTATTTAATTTGTTTTTTTTTTAACAACGAGTAGGTACATTACTAAAAAAAACACAATTAAAATTACATGTATAAGTCACTTAAAGAAAAGCACTGCACGAGTTCTTGTGATAATTGAGGATTGTAGACATTTATATAGAAGTAGTAGGTACTTCTATATAAATGTCTACAATCCTCGTCGAAAATGTAACTAAGGGCCGATTTTTCAATCGTCAGACATCTTCGAACTGAAGAATAAACTTGTCATTTGGACATACTCGTATTTCGCACACTGAAACTGTCAATATGCAAACTTATTCTTCTGTTAAAAATTATCTGACGATTGAAAAATCAGTCCTTATCTAGAAGTTTCTATTTTTCTACTTTCTACCAATTAATCCTCATTAATTTAGCACACTTCTGATGTTTCAAAAATTCAATTCAATTAAATTAGGTACTTACTTTTAAAAATACCCTTGTTTCCTTCTGGCATTTTGTGAACAAAAAACCTCTCGGCTACGTGGTTTGTTTACCATCATCAATCAACTTAACTGAATTTCTTTTGTTCCAGGGCCCAAGAAATGAAACGGAAAAGGTGTACCCCCATCACCTCAGGCGTCGTATAGGTCGTCCGTCTCGCTCTTAGCCATGCCGGACGACGTCACAACAATGCGCTACGTGCTCTTCTGTCTGCTGTCTCTGTCCCTCAACAGGAACCTCGCGTTTGTGCTCGACAAGCAAAACCCATACTCCCAGTTCCGCAAATGGAACGCGGCGTTGAACGGCACACTCGAATTGGAGTTCAAAACGGACCAACCAAACGGTCTATTGCTGTACACAGATGACGGAGGCACTTACGACTTTTTTGAGCTGAAGTTGGTGAATGGGGCGCTCAGATTGAGGTACAACTTGGGCGGGGGAGCTCAGATCATCACGGTTGGGAGCAACCTCAACGATGGACACTGGCACAAAGTTCAAGTAAGATATCCTAAAAGTTATATTTCATAATGATTCTTTGTAGAAGTACCTAATTATTTTGACTGTATCACAGTTATTTTTCCTAAAACAGTATTACGATTTTGCTTATAGTAAAGTACCTACGCTACGCATCAAAATACTTTACTTAAAGTGTAAGTGTTAGGTAGGTTTTGTCCCTTAGATTACCTTAATCTTTACGAACAGAAATCCCTAACTAATTAAGACTACACATTTTAGGCTACCAAAACTACAACTAACCATTCGCTCGCATAGTTAGAACTATGTTTTATTCGTGCAGTGCCGAATGTGAGTTGCATCCTTTACATTTGAAAATTTCGACGGGTTCACCTAATGCAGCGATTCCCAAACTTATTTAGTCTACTGCCCACTTTGAGAATAAATTATTTTTAGCGCCCCCATTTTTGTAGTCAAGAGTCGAGCTCAGTCGGTGTTTAAGAGTCCTCCTAGTAGATGACGCCTCCCAAGCCTCTACACAACGTCCCGATTTTTTTTCTGGGTCTCTTACCGCCCCCCTTTAAGCCTGCAGCGCCCACAAGGGGGCGTTATCGCCCACTTTGGGAAATACTGACCTAATGTATAAGTAGCTTAAATTGATTAGAGCAGTCACCCGGTAAGCAAAGGGTTCGATTCCCACCTTAGGCAATACGAGTGGGCTCACTCTCGTCCCGATGTAGCTTCAAAATGAGAATGCCTGTTTCTTTGATAGAGTATGCCATGAACCAGGTTAATAACCAGTTTATTTTTGTAGGTGGCTAGAAGAGANTTTCGAGCCTTGCCCCTAGCGATTTAAAGTATCGATATCTTGTCGACTCCATTTTATCTTTGTTCTCTCACTAGCGTTTTCTATGTGTGCGTTACGTCACGCGGCCAATCACAGCACTTTTAAGCCGGTTGCACATGTTGTCGTAGACTCACAGTCGCTTTGTTTTTACACAGTTGAATGTGTGTGTGGGAGCTGTGGTGGGGGAAATGTGGGGACACTGGTTCTCGTTGTAGTCACGCGCGACTTCATATCTATTCTCTTTCTATGATCTGAGGAACTATGTTTTATTCGTGCAGTGCCGAATGTGAGTTGCATCCTTTACATTTGAAAATTTCGACGGGTTTACTTCATGTATAAGTAGCCTAAATTAATTAGAGCAGTCGCCCGGTAAGCAAATGGTTCGATTCCCACCTTAGGCAAATCGAGTGTGCTCACTCTCGTTCCAATGTAACTTCAAAATCAGAATGCCTGTTTCTTTGATAGAGTATGCCATGAACCAGGTTAATAACCAGTTTCTTTTGTAGGTGGCAAGAAGAGACGAGCACACGTCTCTCGCAGTGGACGGGGCGACCCAGAGCAAAGTGTCCCGCGGCAAAGAGTTCGTTTTCGGCAAGTTCACCACCAACTCCGACGTCTTCGTGGGCGGCATACCACCTTCGTGAGTACTTTTGAATGTTTTTAATGATAAAAGGTGGAGGATAATTGCGTTGGAGAGAAGGCAGTCGCGTTTATGGAAAAAACAATTCGAAAATAATTCGGACTACATGTGAAATGAAAAAGAAAACTATTTTTTTAGTGCACGACTCGTAATTTCATACTACACATGATATTACAGCGCGACAGTGGCAATAATAACGTGAATACGCTACTGCCGCGCTGCTGTCGCGTCTCTGACGCCCTAATGTGAAAAGGCGGTCTTAAACTATTAAGTACTGGATCGTTCTATCTCAGTTTACTATGTTAAAGTTAATCATTAAGAAACCCCCTATCGTTACGACTGAGCTGCAGTTTGCAAGTAATCATTACCAACATGAAAAACATACTCTGTTGCGTTTAATATTTCAGCCCGTTTATTTTAGTTGAAGATATTTTTTTCACTACATATAACTCAGTCGCAGTCCGCAGTCCTGGTTTCGGTTCAGCCTTGGCGTTTAATTTGAAGTATTTTTAACTCTGACATTACGGAACACCATCCTTTGCGTATAAACAACAAAGAAAACTCTCCTTTTTATGAGGACCAATTAATTTAAGTCAAGATACCCTCTATCCTCGTGCCCTCTCTTTCTGTTCTCTAAAAAGGCTTTCAGATGATAACAATAACATATAGAATTGCGGCTTAAAAAGAACCTTTTGAGGTAAAATAAGCATTGTCCCATCCTATTCCATTAAAATCAAATTGGGCGATTTATTGGAAAAAGCTGTTCTAATAGAATTTACAATTATCTGTAGTCTAAATATAATTAATTATTATCTAGATAACACAGTATTCACGTACTTTCATTTTAATTTCACAAAGGTATTTGAAAGGCTTCTTAGGTAATGTAAAGTTCAAATGAGACCGTATACTAACTTCATTTGAATGAAAAACATTTTGAAGAGTTGTAGCATAATTTTCAGGTATTTTACTTGTGTTAAAACTGAAATTGGTAAAAGTTCTGAGAACTACTCGTAGTAACGTTAATGTTTTTTAACAAAGAAAATAATATAGTAAAGAAATATTATTTTATTTAAACACTTTTTCTTAAAACACAAGGTACACGATCTCATTTAATATTAACGTACATGAAATTCTTTATTGTTTTCAGTGTAAAATATCTTACAGATCATTTCTTTTAAATTCTCATTTTTCTTTCATACCAATTATTTTCTAGTTAATCTTCACGAACTGAAATCCCAAACTAATTAAAGCTAAACATTTATATACCAAAACCAAAACTAACTATTCCCTGCAAAGTTAGAAACGTTCATTTTGCACTAAGTCACACTGTGCCGCTGTTTTCTTAACAATTACACTAACTCAGAGCTCGTATTTTAGTATTGGATGGTACGTGAACTAAGTCCTAATTAGGTAAGCCCGTATTAAATCCTGGACTAGTGCGGGGTTAGGGCTAGTTCAGACTATGAATGTTAGAAATTGTCACATTTACCCTGTAGTAGAAGAACAAAACAAAGTTAGAGAGAGATTAGCAAAGTGTTCATCAGAAGTTGGGCAAAGTAAGAAGCTAGAGTCTAGCTAGACTGAGCTGCGTAAACAGACCACGAGAGATGAAACTGGGGTGAGGTTAGATAGATAGATAGATAGATAGTCATTTATTGTCAAAACTGTGCATACATTGTTGTTACATGGATGTTAAATAACACAGGAACCGACAGTTTGCCCATTTCGGACGTACAATATAGGTAAAGAGAATAATATAATTTACAATGTTACTTAAGTGGGTTGTCCATATTTTAGAATTTCAACAATGATTAAAATATTCTTCTAAACTATAAAAACATTTCATTATTACCTTCTTATTTTTAAAATAACTATAATAATAGTATTATCTTAGTCTGTTTTTAGCAAACATGTCTCTATATTGAAATTTTTAGTGCGTGACTTTTCCATACTCATGTAGAGACAATGTTATTGCACCCTGTGTTCATGTTCTAAAATACATTACGTATTCTTGCATTTTTATGAAACGAATAAAAAATATTCGACTTTCAGGTAGGTAATGTTTTAATTAAAATGCATCTGTTTCGAATGATACCATCATCATTCAATTTTGGTGAATTTTATGATAAATCCAGAGCTGTGCATGATATTATGAATTATTATAACTTAAGGTGAGCAGCATGAGTGTGCACTCAGCTTTACTCTGTAAGTTTGTGGTAATTAAGTCAAGGTTAATTATGTTGCTTCGGTGGGGTTAACTGCGGAGTTAACGCAGTAACAGTTGCTCGCTGGCTCGAAATGCCCGCGCTAGGACCTTGTCAATGGGCAGGTACTAATTAAGATTTCGCACCTTCGGTAGAACAAGGGCACAATTGCACTTTTTGCAATTTTACAGGAGAGCTATTAATTATTAGCTACACATTTTTAAAGTATTTCTGCATACTTAACTCATTTCTGCAATCTTTGACAATTGTGCCCTTGTTCTACCGAAGGTGCGATTTGATTTACCTAATATACCCAGACTCCTACAATCAATGTATTAGTATACTCACATTTTGATTAAAGAATTTGGTATGAGATTAATTTTTATGACAAAATATTCACTAATGAAATCAATACAATATTACTACAATAGGATCTTTTAAGAGGCAGGTAGATATCGTTATGTGTTTTGTCTGTACTCGCTTTGGTTAAAACAATATATTGGTATTTTTGACTGAATTATTATGTTTTTTAGGAGTTCAGTTACAAAGCTATTGCCAAATTTTGGTTTTCACATATTATTATTGTTTAAAAACGAGAATGTAATATAAATTATTTTTGTAATTCCAATTCCTGTCTCCAACATAACTCAGGTTTGAATCACTAACCAAAAATAGACTCTGCTCCTATGAAACAAGATTAAAAAAGCCTTGGCGTACAAAACGGCAAGGTTTCATAAAACCTTTAATGCGCTAACATGAAAAACGTGTTATGTTTTTAATTAGAGCGCCCAAAATCGTAAAAACGAGCAGTCAAAATGGTCATAAAAGGTCAAAATTAAGGCGTAGGCAATAACTAATAGGTATTACGACTTGCTTATTCAGGGTGGAATTTTGTAATGCCACCTGGAGGGAAAGTACCCTTAATACTGTAGATAGAAAATTTTACGCAAAGAAAACATTCCTTTATTTTTGAAAAGAAAGAGAACTGCATTCAAAGATTTTCAAAAATTTGCTTCCTACACTCGAGAATCGAATCAACTAAAATCTGTTAAAAATTACACCCTGTATTGTAAGCTTTCTGCGAAATCTTTCTTAAGAGTAGAATAGAAATAACTCACAAATACCAAACTTTGTAGTTAGTTAGATTGTGCTAGAAGTTGGTAGAGATGCTCAATATTCAACTAATTTTAAGGGAATTTTACTTATTTAAGACTGTAGGTTGTTTTACTTGATGTACCTTTGTTAATATTCATAAACCTTTAAAAGCGATGGATAGAAACTTGCGGTTTACCGCAACTTCTTCATGTTTGTTCGTGACGTAAAACTTGCATACTGTTTGGTAATGGGGGCCGAATCCATCCATTCTAGTTCACAGATTATTATCTGAGATCATAATAGCTATACATGTCATATTAAACAGTGAAACCACCACTGTTACTGTTACCAACAACGCGGCCAATTGCAATTTCTTCATCACTTGTTTTAAGAAGAATGTGACTTAACATTTGGTTACTGATTACTACTTGGTGTACAGGGGCCGAAACCATATTCACATTCTAAACCATAAGATCATGAATGTTGCGTTTTGTCAAACCTCTTCATATGCAATAATGGCTATACATATTGAACAATCAAACCACCACTGTTAATAAGGGCCTGTTGGCAAGGCAGACAGAGCCACCAATCAACGCTAAGCCGTTCTGATGGCCTGGTGGGAGCCTGAGCGCCCCATTAATTTGGGGGCTCCGACCTGCACTGAGGTGCTAATGGGGTGACAAAGCTTTCTATTATAAAGGAGACTGCGATTCAATAACGGTGGCGAACACATTTGTTTTGATGGCTAGTCTTTTTTATATGATACTAGCTTTTGCCCGCGGCTTCACCCGCGTGAAATTTAGTTTGTCACAGATCGTCATAAATAATAGCATATATGTTATTATGGGTTATAAACAATAATACTGTAAAGTTTCATCAAAATCCGTTCAGTAGTTTTTACGTGAAAAAGTAACAAACATCCAGACATCCACACAAACTTTCGCATTCATAATACGAGTATTAGTAGGATTCCATGTTTGATCGAGCTTGAAAGTTTATAGCAGTTTTTATCCAATGGGTTTTGGAATAACATAAAGCATACTACATACATACATATATACATACATTTTAAAGGATAAGTGCGTTTTTTCGTTTGTCTTGTTTTAATGAGGCGGTAGATATTTAAAAATATGTGAAGTTGTCTAAATCCAAAATGATCTAACAGCGAGATTCTCTAAAACCTCATCCGATTCTCGAGGCCAATTTTGGTAAAAACTAAAACTATATACCATGTACTAAAATACTGTCCTCACGCTTTTTTATGTAGGGTAATTCCAGGATACATGCCCCAGTGGGATAGGTGCCGCGATTTTAAGTACACTATGTTACAAGCAACTTAGCCTAAAGTTATAGTACGTATAATAGAAAGGGACCTCCCCGTACCACTTTTCGCCTCGCAAACCATCAAAGAGTGCGTTCGTTTAGCCAGTGAGAGCAAAAATCTTCCGCGGCCAAACCTTAGCGAGCGTCGAAATAAAATTGGTAAGTATCTTTTAATGGATAATTTTTTTGTCAGCTGTAAAATGAAGCAGATTTTTATATAATTTGATAGACTATCTTATAAATTAGACGGGATAGCTATGTTTAATTCGATTTTTAGTGTTATTGTATTTTTTATTAAAAAAGGCACCTATCCTATGCTAAAAGGATAGTTGCCCAATTTTTTTTGGGGATAGATGCCCTTAGGGTCATGTCCCATGC